GATGAGAAAAGGCCAAATGACTATGGTAAAAACATTAGTGCTAACCAAATGCACATCACCCACGTACTGCAAGCCTCCCTTGCAAAATTCTTAAAGAAACATTATGTTCTCTGAGCTACTTGTCACTGCTGATTCTGAGCTACTGTGTTTTCCATTAAACCTATACCGCATGCCTGTTTACTGTTGTTTCAGTTGAGATTATTTTCCATCATGAGCATTTCCGCAAATCCCTTGCTCTGGGGTTACATTGCTAACCATGGCCTGTTGTGCCACTGATACTGCCTGTCGCTGCCTGTTACGTGGCTTTGTTAAGACGTTTCCTAGATGAAACAAATAAACAGAAACAAAAAAAAAGAATAAATAACAAAAAACACTCCCTTCTCCTCTGCATCCTGCCTATTTTTTTGTAGTTCACAAACTTTTGTACATTTTGTCCTATTAAGTAGTTTTGCAGCTTCTATCTCAAAATGTTTAGACTCTAACTAAAAGCAATTTGATTGAAGAATAAACTGTGGAAGAGTTTTTGCAATGATGCAATGATAATGAATCAAAATGTTTCACGTTATTAGTCCACAAACAAGCAATTAAGTAAAGGAAAACACAGCACTTTCACAGACAGCTGTTACAGAAAACTGGACTGTTCTCATTGGCAGCCATAAGAGAAGGCCACACAACTTGAAGAGGCTCTCTTACTGTTAAGCATTTCAGAAGGGTGGATGGATAGCACTTGTTCTCTCTGCTAGTCTAACAGCCTATATATCCTACCTTGCTAACTTCGGCGACTCCTGAAGAAGACCTTACAGCCATAAAGTCGACAGCTGGTAACCTATGCCCTTCTTCACATTCCTTGTGAGGTGGAATAGCCCTAACTCTGTTGGGTTTTGCACCTTAAATGTTTCTAGGGTTGCTGGTAGCTTTGATCCAAGATCCCCAGCTCCAGTCTCCTGACGCACAGTGAGGAAATTCGCTGGAACAACTGGAAACGGTCTGTGTTTATTCAGCCCCTCTTAATGAGGAGGGAGAGGGATTATCGAGGCCTGGATCTTACAAACTGCAGCAGCAGATGTTGTTCTACCCCTGGCTACTAGAGCTCATATAAGTGTGTATATTTTGCAGGGAGGGGAACTCCTCTTTTCATGCCGCTTTGAGTCCAGATGTTGGTGCTCACTTGCAGTGCTTCAGACATTTAGCTGCTACAGACACAGCCAGACAGCTGGGGCAGGAGGGAGGGCATTTCCCAAGTTACATGAAGTTATGAAAGGTCTGCAACTTATGAAAGGCTTTGAGCTTGTGGCTTTTTAAAGGGGTGTTGGTTTTTGGTGGTTTCAAACACAAGCATTGCTTTTAAGAATCTGTGCTGTCCCAGGAGGGGAAAGAAGTTATTTCAGTCAGTAATATAAGCTTGAATGTGTTACTTTCATTTTATTTTTATTACTAGTATCATTATTTTAGCATGCAAATCTACCTAATCACCAGGCTACTCAGAATGAAACCTAAGAAATCAGGAGACTAAAGGAGGTCACAGGTGCTTTCACTTAGATCATGGAAGTATCGACTTTCAAGTACCTTGAATGTGATTTTCAGGAAGAATGTTTTATATTCAAATATTTGTTATGAATTCTATTAATATATTTTATGATATTTTACTTGAAACCATAACCAAAATAAGTGAGAATCCATAGGCATCAGGGTCAAACTCCAAACTTTATTTCCTATCAGTTTTTTTTTCATATTGTAGCTTTCGGGAAGAGCATAATGACCTGATGACAGGGATGTAGTACAGTCCATATTCCTTCCTGAGGTTTCAAAGAAGCAGGCTATCACAGCACATACTAAGTAACATATATAGCTCATAAAAAGTCACATTAATTAACTACTTTATTTCACATCCACTTTGCAAATTCTTTTGATCTTTAATATTTGTTGTTTTATTTTGGCAAATGTCTTATTTTTGTTTCTTTCACTGGATTTCCTGATGTGACAGGACCCATGAATTTAAAAAGGAAAATAAAAGCTGTTAGCCTATCATAAAATAATGTTTGCACAATTTTTTTGGCAAGAATTGTGTTTTTTTTTATTACTTCATCATATATTTTCTTCGATTAAAACAACTTGCAGATAGCTAAAGAACTTTTTCTGTTTCATTCTAAACCAGACTGATTTTTGGTTGATCCATGACTATCGTTTAGGAAATAATGTACTCCAGCTCTTTCTGAAATATATAGTCAAATGATAGACTGCAGAATATCAGCAGAGCATCCTACTTGTTCACTAAAGGTATTTTCATCTTCGAGGTGACTCCTTTCACAGCTCCACCCTACCTGTTTTAGATTAGATTACTGAGCTGTTCTAACAATAGCCACATGACACAGTGCTCCAGACACAGATCATTGAACCTGACCAGCTGATCAATACTACGCTCTATTGTCAACTCATTGAAGAAGGGATTAGAGCTAGCCACCGGCCACAGGGCGCTGGAGAAGTCAGGTCGAAGGTCAGGAACGCTGGTCTAGTTACATGTTTTGCAGACAGACGTCAAGCACTGTTAATGATGTCACCTGTGGCCCCTCCTCTGGGCCAGTCTGTCTCACTCCCCCCTAAGTGAAACTGACCTTTATTTCCTAATCTCTGCTACAAGCGTGACCTGACCTGGACTCACCTCTGACCTCAGATGCACTGTCAAGTTCAAGTCTGTACCAATGACGGAGAAGTGAACCTTCTTCTGTCTGGTTACTAAATGATTAGCATCCAGTGGGCTTCATTGCACTAAGTGACAAATTGATGAGTCTAAATACCATCATAAGATGAAAAGTATCAACTCTCTGCTTATGAACCCCAAATACATTATGGCACAAAATTACACTGTTAATCATATTCCTTCCTGTTCTAAATCTAGCACTGCCATCACATGCGTGAAAACTGTGATTGTATCATCAATAAACAATTATACATATGCTCTTCTTCGAGCATGTGGGTCTACTAATTTACAAGTCGGTCACTTTATCCTCATAAACAACACTTCAGTAAATTAATGAACAAATAAAAAAAGCATTTCAATGGTGTTGATTAGTAAAACCACATACTGTAGATATCTAATTAGAAAAGATTGTTAGAACATCTGTTTTTTACTTTAAAGTATCTTGAAATTTCTCATAAAAGAAAGCCTCATATTTATATGATAATTACTTGTTCACATAAAAACACCAGGGTACCAGAACAAACTATTAGAAAGGCTGATGTTCTAGTTAACATTTTTTTAATGACTTGTATGCCTTAAGATGAAGTTCATTTAATGTTTCTGTTTATCATATACAAAGAGAGTTTTATATCTTTCCTCCAGGGAGCCAGAATTTAGGGGAACAAATGAAAAAGGCAGTAGAACAAATACTTAATTATCATTTTTTAACAAACATTAAGATGAAATTAATCTTTGGAGTTCTACGGCAGTTGATTTCATTAAGAGGTGACTGCTGGTACATGATAATAAATGTACCCAAGTCTAAAAACATTCAGGAGCCGTGTTGTTAATGTATTATTCATCCTTTATTAATACTTAATATTTAATTCAACAAATATCATGTATAAATCCCAAAGATTACATGATTAGTAAAGAAAATCTCAGCTGCCTATTACTAATAGGTATTAAACATTTTATTCAGCATTTTGGCATCACTTGTTTAGACATTTTGTGTGTATTAAAGTGAAATATCAAAATAGGTATTTATTATAAATAAATATAAATAGTGACTACAGAGTGAAAATAAATACGATGATTTACAAACGAAAGGAGTCATGCAACATACACTGTTTGTTTGGTACTTAGTAGCTAATTGATGTAACAATCTCATCCATCTGTTTATTCTTTAAATATGACAGGGTATTGGCTTCAACAACATGGCCGGGTAACCTGGAACACTCCATCCCTTTGTGTATAAGAGCCTCCTTCTTAAATACACTGTCCTGTAGTTTCCACTTGTCTTTTCTTGTTTGTGTATGATCGTTGTCCACTGGATTGAGAATATATGAATCAGGAGTTTACATTCTTCTCTATTCAAGAATAAAAAAAATCAGCGGTGTGAGCCTGAAAACAAGGACATTCCTTTAAGCCTGGGAATGTGTCTGGCTATTCTTGTCTGGACTAATTCCAGAGCAGCAATGTCTTTCAATAACAGGATGACAAAAATGTGAGCAATATTCTAAATTAAGTCCTACTAATGCATTGTAATTTATTTGAATAAAACGTCTCTTGATTTAAATTCTTCACTTGTAACTACACATCCTGGTTTAGTGGTAGTTAACTTGGCGTTATCTATTTTGTATTTACAGCTTGTTGTTTCATTGTAAAAGTTACCTCCAGTGTCCCGGTTAAATTCCATGCTGAACTTGTACGGTCTGCCTTTCCTAAAATCCCCCCTTAATTTCCTTAGTGAAGCAATTTCTTGCCTCTCTACCTGATGTGCTCTCTAGTGGAGTTGCAGCTGCACAAGGGCTGCCCCATATTACACAGGTGGGTGTGTACTTCAGAAGTGGGTGAAATCTGTCCCCTCTTTCAGGTGAAGCACTTTTAGTTCCTTTTGAATGAAAAGTACTCTATGAGTACAATTAATTATAATTACTACACATAATTCTATAAAAAGTGTGGTATAAACCATGCATGTGTTTATAAAAAACGATTTAAACTTCAGTCGGTACATTTTATTATAAATAATGCTTCGATTTTCACATTCCAATCATGAATAAGGCAGCACACATGGTATTGACCAAAAAGACCACAGTTTTCTTCCAAACTGAAGCAAACGTAAGTGGGCTCCATTGAATATGCAAGCAATTTTACTGAGAGCACTTCAGGTACAGCTTATTTTGTCTGCCCTTGGAAACAACTGGAGCAGTTTCACACATAAGGCCAGAAATCCTGGAATATCAAGCTGTTGTGAATGGGGGTTAAATGTAGTTTCAAAAGATTCTGAGAAAGTCAGTTTCTTTTCTGCACAGTTACTTACCCAGTGCTGCTGTGGACAGGCAGTGTTTTCTCAGGCCTGAAACAGAGAAAGACAGAGAATAAGGGGCAAAGATATGGGAATTTTACAACTGAAATCAGAAACCATCAACATGACCCATGATCTGACCCGTTAAACTTTCTTCACTTTGTATGCTTGTAATATTGCTTTAACTCTTTAATTGAGAAAATAATAATCTAATTTGCAGAAGGCAATATGCTATACATTAATAGAAAAAAACACATCTCCCATTTTAATCTCCACTACAATTTAAACAGCCATTCTATTAAGCATATTTCCCAATTAATCAATCACATAGTGACTTATAATTATGGTCCATTTATCTAAAAACTTCTAAACTAATGTTCACAAACACTAAAAAAAAACATTTTTAAATTAATAATAATAATTACCTCTAGAATGATTTTAAAAGGGACAAAGCTTTATTATGTTATCTATATTCAGAGCAAATTTCTCTGAATACAATGATTGTTAGTAATTATAAAAATGGTTTAATGTCTAATTCGGTGTTCAAATCCATTATGCGTCAAAGCACTGAGAAGGAAAACCACAAATCTTACTTCTTAAAAAAACAGTATTAACGTCAATGCCCACACATTGAGGGGAAATGACATAACTGGCTTAAATAAAATGAATAGCGATGATAATAAATTAATCTGGATATTCTTTAGGAAGTACAGAATGTTTTTATGGACCCCATAACATATGTTTATATGTCTATATATGAGGCTAAACATTTCCCAGTGATTTGAGCTTGCACTGGTTATTTTCATAAATATGTTCTTTACTGAGTAACACCATAAGGAATAAGTTCTGTTAATTATTGGTAACAAACATGAATGGGATATTAAATGAAGAATGCTGTCCAAACTCTATGTTTGCTGTGGTCCACCATGTTTTAATCTTAAATATTTTTTCTTAAATGACAAGGTGGAATAATATGTCTGTCAAACTTATAACTTATAAATATAACTACGTGTTAATTTATTATTGGCCTTTCTTATGGAATTCCCTCTTTTTAAAGGTTTGTTGTACTGCATTCCTAAAATGTTTACTGTAAAGGTGGCTCAGGGTTAGGGTTTATGGATTTTTACCAAGCATTACTGTAAGTAGGTAGTGTTCCAAACAGTGAAATAAAGGGTGTTGTAAGAGTTTGGACAATACTATCTTGCTGATGGTAAATATAATATAAATAAGGAACAATAAATGTCAATTTATTACATACTACAGCCCTAAGATTGATGACAAGTCAGCAGCTGAGCATAGAGACCATTAAAATAACAACACAAGGAAGTGAAAGCAGAAGATTTAAAATTTAATTTGAAACAAGCGTTTCTCATGGTGTAACACCAGAGTTCATCAGAAAAGATGAGAATGAGAACGCATGCGTCACCCCCCAGCACACAATTCAGATATAGATGATTTTGTCCAGTTCCCTTTTGTTAATTTCACTATATTCAAGCTTGATGTTAAGAATATACCGTGCTTATGAAATTCACATTTTTTAATTGCCTGCTTTCACTTTCACTTTGTGAACAATATTGACTCTGACCTAAGCAAAAATAGGGCTTTAAAAAACACAGAATTCATCCTAAACGTACGGCCCAATTGAAGATCGCAAGATTTTATTGCTGTACATCATTGAACGGGTCCTCTTAATGGTTTCCAAACCCACAACAATGTAAGTACATTACATTGAGCATACATTACACTTACACACATATGCATTTTATATATGTATCCTATGAAGAAATACATATACACAATGGATTGGGTTAATATTGTCTTATTAGATTAAACAATTTCCTAAGCTGCTAATTACTTATGCAGTTTAGTAAGGTGAAGAGTGGCAGTAACTCAGAGTGATTTATTTGCAATCTAGACAAATGCAGGGACTAGGCCCCCTGTTCCCTTGGCCTCTTGCAATGAGCCTCCGATTAAGAGAGAGTGAGATATAGTGCGATATTGATCCCAGTGCCACTTCATTTGGCAATAACTATTACAAGATATTCTCCAGACCTCGTGGTCTGGTCAGTTTGCTGATTTGGGCTGTGGTGCTATTTGCATTAGCACTAACTGTTTTTCTACTGCAGTGAGCTGTCGGTCCCTAGTATATTTTAATATTTTTTTAAGAAAAAATTGGGGACTATCCCATTGACAGACGTGTATACTCCAATTCCAAGCAAATAAAAAAAAATAGATATAAACTGAGGTTCATTGGGAAAGACAATATCCAGATATTAAGCGGACAGAATAGTATAAACTAGAAAATGAGTGTGGACAATGGGTGAACACAGTGGTTGTACAAGGTTCACCATGTATAATTCCTGCATTTTCTAACCAAAGTCTTCACAGTGCACAACAATATGTAATGCATAAGGAGCTTTATAAACTATGTAAGCTCAGTAGACAAAAAATGGATGTTATTAGATATAATGATAATTGATAAAGACTGATAAAGAGAAAATATATTTTTTCTCCTCTGACTGTTGTTACAGTTGTATTTAAAATGCACTCAAAATTTAAAGTACAACCATCAACATAGAAAATCTAAAGTATTTATTTCATTTTCAATGATCAACACACTTTCAAAAATGACAATCCTCACAATACATCAAAGTAAGTTAAAAAAAAAACAAATCAACTGATAGTATAGAATACTGCCTCATTAACGTTGCTCATATATCTAAACTGTGTGGTATCTCTTGTACAGCCTGCTACTTACTGTATGGTGTATGATACAACCAAGGCAGTAATAAAATAAATATATGCAGGAACAAGACAAGAACTTGTTTTTTTCCTAAGCATGCTTTAGTAAAAACTAATTTAAAAAAAACTTTTTTGTTATTTCTACAGGAGATGTCATTTTGGGCCTCATGTCTGCACACAAATGTTAATGTTGTAGTTGTTTTTCACAGTACAAAGTATATCTCCGGTGAGAACTCCAGCAGACAGTGCAAACTGTATTTATTAGAGTTCTGTGACATATTGGGCTGTGAAAAGAGTGTTGTTGATATGAATCATCTTTTTTGACAAAGCATTCTGATTCCCTGTCAGTTACCCAGCTTAAAAACATTTTGATTGCAATGAAAATATCTATTTTTATTTAGAAAGCTTGCATTATCGTGTAGTGGGCACTGACAAATTAGCATTCAATATTGAGAAGGCAATCCTCTTAATATATTCCCACAATGATATCCACCAATTTAAAAGTGTAATATCTACATAATATTCATTTACATATCTAGACTCCCACTGCAAAATGATTTCTGTTCTAAATTATTAACATATGAAATTTATTTAGGAATGTTTTTATTTGAATATTATTTAGCCTCTGTTTAAAACCTTATAATAATGTTCATACTGTGACTGCAGAGCAAGACGGAGACAGGTTTCTTAAGTAAGAAAAGAATCTTTTTTTCGGGAAGAGAGCGCGATGGCGGTGTTTGGCAACGAAGGGAAAGGAGTGCAAACACTTCAAGCCACAGACGCGCGGGGCTGCTCCTGCCAGATGGATGGCAATAGCCCAGCCTCGCTGGCACGTGCGCATGTTTCCCATGAGGCCCGGGTTGCCATGGGGGCACCCAAAGTGGTGCCAGGCTTGTGCCAGCAGACCACCTAGCAACAGGGGCCGGCGTTCGCCTCCGAAACGAGCCTTCGCCCGTGTGCTGGAACGTGCCAGAGCCGGAGCTGGGAGGGAGGAGGAGGAGGAGGTGGCGAGGGGCACGTGCCATTACAATTCCCAGACAGCCTCAGTCTCTGTAGCCCTGCCTGTCTGTTAGCTCTATATCCTGTCTGCTCTGCAGCTTTAAGCCACAAAACAAAAGGACAAATGACCCCTAATTGCTCCGCTGCTGTTTAACATCAGAGGGGTGTCAGCAGCAGTATGTAAATCATACCCCCACCCCCTTCCCCCTGAGCACTGTGCCTTGGCACAATTGGCTCTTTATATGCAAGAGGGCAAGAAGGCTGGCTGCCAAATGAGTTGGCTGGCAAGCGTGGTAATTCGGAGACACTTGTTGCTTACATGCCTGCCTGTTGCCTATCTCAGCCCGTCGAGCTGGGAGATGATCTAGACGGGCATCCTACTGTCTCCTTCTCCAGCGCCGGCTGTTTAACATGCCACCAGAAGGCACGCGCGCACATGGTTGTCTTTCAGGTTTGGCAGTCACTGTCAGCTCCATTCATGACTGAAGTGCTGGGTTTTTTTTTTTTCCTGCCCATTCACAAACTAGCTGTTTGATTTTATGCAAATGTGTCTGTGGGTGCTTTCTGTCTGGTCTAGCTCGTGTTGCATACTGAATACACTCTTTGTATGTTCTGTATGAAACAAAGCCAAACATCCGAAATGCTAAAAAACGTCAAGCACAGAAGTTCAAAAAAGGTTATCTTAAACCATTTCTTATCGGCCTACTTAAGTGTATTAAGTAAAAGCTGGTTTGAGACAGGTTCCCCTTTGTTTCTTTATTTACACAAATAATGTGTTTTGGATTATTTTGGGGATTCGGAATGCAGTGCGCTTTTATCATTTCTAGGCTGGGATACAACATTTAGCTTTTTTTCCCCAAGAGAAAAAAATCATGTTACAAGCAAGTTTAATTAGTCAGGTAAAATCATAACTTGACACAAACTACAATTCAAAATTGTATCAGGAGCTCAATGATGTAGATTTAGATCTGAAGAATTAAAACAGCTGCCATTAGAAACCTGTAATTATACTGCAAAAGTTCACTTTCAGACCTGTCTGAAAGGACTGGTAAAGCTATGGTGTAAACACATGACCAGACTCACACGTACACCCATTCAAAAGAAACACATTGCAGTTTATCCCAACTCACCAGGGCAGTCCGAGAAAACATCAGCTTGGTTGCCTTTGAATTCTGCATCGTTTCACTTAAAAGACACACATCCCCTTGAATAACATTCAGTTTTTCATTATTTTTTCATACTGAAGCGAAGTATATTTGAAAAGGTATCCTATGTGAGACAAAAAACAAAATCTCATAATGTTGTATTTGACTGTAAATCCCCAAATTGCACTAAAGAGCCAAGATCAGGGATTTATGAGCAAATGAGGGAGACTACAATCATCAGAGATCTAAGGCACTGAACCTGTAAAAAAAGGCGTTTCGATATTTTGCCCTGTAGTCCTGGAACTCCCTTTGAACATATTTAATGTTGTCTGACCTTATATTGTTGTAAGGTTTTAAAGACATAATACAACTTTTTATTGTTGATAAATGGAGGTACTTAAAAATCTTTAAAATACTTATGTTGATTATTTAAATGCATTGTTATTCTTGTTGTTTTAAGTTAGGTATGCAAGATGTAATTGTATCATTTCTGCCTTCTTTACAGTGACTTCTTGTCTGTCTGACATCTTGATCTCAATGAGATTTCCTGGCTAAATCAATAAGACTTACATATAAACATACAGTATATGCATGCATTTATATATACTGTATATACACATAATGACTATGAGATACCAAGGGTTAGGCTAAAAGATATAAAACTAGTGGTTAAATGGTTTGGCTACAAGATTTAAAACTTGTGAGACTACAACAAAAAAAACAAAAACAAGTGCAATGTTTTTACTAAAAGCACATGATATATATTTTCTTGTCCAATCAAATACAAATAGGATGTTTTTAATCAGTAAAAATACTGTGAAACACTATGCTAGAAAAGGCCAGCTTAAAGTTCCTGCGTCACTTCAAGCTTCTACTTACCTAATTCACTACAGACCACAGGGTGGCCATCATAGTTGCAAAGTAGATTCAAAAGTCTCTCCCATGTTTAAAAATTCCCCGGATTCTCAATGATATCAAGCGTTAGTGCTTTCCCCTAACTTGTCTGTGTTGCAGCCATGTGAACAGTCCAATGATTTAAAGCCAGCAACAAACCTGTCCCATTCTCAGGGTGACATTATTGATAGAGTGTCACTTCGGATGCTATGTAACTGCTAATGGCTGTTTTAGGGTGCATATGTCAGACCTCATCTGTATTTTTTTTCTTCAGCACTTCGAGCCTCTGTGTCCCATCGTTTCCCTGCACTCTAAACTGAAAGAGCCATTCCTGCAGCCAAAACTACAGATGCTTAAAACAAACACATGGGTACTGTTTAAACAGTGCATCCATTCCAAAAACACTAGAAATGAAATCTGAGAAGAGTTTGTTTAAAAGTTACACAATTTAGCCTTATAAAGGAAAAAACAAGCTTTGTTGACTTCCTGTTTCACTTGCCTCCTCTGATGGTAGTTAAGATCCTCAGACACAATTGTCCTCCTGACAGCTTCTACAAAACAACCTTTCTGGCCCATTATCTGTCTTGCAACCACGGATACACTCGAACTCTTGTGCATTACAAGACCAGATCTTCCTTAAAATGTGCTCTATTATTTTTTGAAGTCAATGATTAGCACAATAATAGTTACTTATGATTTACTTTGCTTTATCCCACATGAAACACAAAGTGTTAGAACACCTCACAGCCACACAGCCTTATTTTACGTCTATTATCTTACTTTAGTACATCACTCATTAACTCCTCCTGGCTTTTAACAGACATCTTGACAGGATTAGTGCAGACTGCTGCCATTTAGACACAAACATCAAAATAAGCAGGAAAAAAAAGAAAATGGAATGAAAAGAGAGGTTGTAGTCACTGATGAGAGAACCTTCAGAACAAACCCAATCTTCCACCCATTTATTTCCTTAAAACAATTCATATTAAATTCCAGTTCAAAATGCAGGTTGAAGGATGAAGAGCACACAACCCTAGAAAAACCATAATACAGATATTTTCAGCAAATTGATTTGACTGTCTTCTCTGTAAGGCACTTTTGTGGATAATGACTGTTTAGAAACAGGGGACAAGACTGGAAACCACTGGAGAAAATAAACAGAAAAATATAGCTAGAAAGTATGCATTTGAGTCTGCATGCCCCATTAATAAATAGGTCTTAAATGTGGTAGAAATAATACTGCTGTGTTTGTGTTCCTTGATTTGTGCGTGTATTGTGAGCCTGGATATGTCTTCCACTTATGCCGAGCTCCTTGAAGACCCCAATTTGTTAAGAATTAATGAGAACACCTGCCCAGCGAAAGCAGCTTGTGTCAAATCTCACTTTGTATATTAATGATTGCCCAGTTGTGAAGCTTTTGTTTTACCACTTGAATTGTTTTGAGCCGTTTGAAAATAAATTTTTTAACGATTGTGTGTGAGACTGATTTGAGTATGTAAATGGGGAGGGGTCAGAGAGTTAGTGGGGGAGAGAAGGAGAGGGAGGGAGGTGGGAATGAGCGTTATTATTGCATTAAACGGCGACGAGTCGGTCTAATTCGAATCACAGCAGGGTCCTGTGAATGGGAGATGTGAAAGAAAAATGAAAGAAGGAACGGGAGAAAAAAAATCAAAGTGGAGAAAGGCAGGAGAAGACAGAGAAATAAAATAAGTGAAAGATAAAAAGATTACAATAAAGAAAAAAGCGGAGAGATGGGTCGAAGAAATAACAGTGGAACTGAGTGGGAATAAAAAAGAAAATGGGGGAACTGGCTAAGAAAAAGAAAGAGGGAGGGGGCTAGCTGTGGTGGTGGGGTAGGGGAGGGGAGAGCGACAGTCACCGGCAGAAGGTTTTTATTGTCCGGACGGAGGAGATGTGCACAAAAGCACTGGAAAGATTAAATTAAGTATCATATGCACTGACCTCATTGCCATGGTTACAGAACAGCGGAAAATATTAATCAAGCCTGCACTTGAGAAAGGGAGAGAGAGATAGCAAAGGAGGGAGGGAAGATGGGGAAGAATAAGAGATATGGAGAGAAGAAATAAGTGGTACTGTATATGTGTATACTGGGTGTGTGAAGATGTGTGTGCTGTTGGGGGGGGGACTTATATCATTTAATAAGAAGAAGCCATCACAGGCAGCAGCACTTTCTACACCCTTTGTCTGCAGTTCCTTCTGAGTTCTCACTGGTCTGGGTGTCTTCTGTCTTCACTCTCAAACTTAGCCTGCAACGGAATTAAAGGGCCCGAGGCTTTATTTGACTTTTGATTTGAAAGAACAGGATCTAGTCCTGCAGCAGAGTTTAAAACTCTAACCAACCACTAAGCGCCAGTTAATAATGCCTTCTACTGTATCTGTTGCCTTCACAGACACAAGGGTGTAACTTTTTGTTTTGTCCAATAAAAACTTTGGGCGAACTGTTCAGGTCTTGCAAGAGGTGGCAAAGAACTACTCTGAAACCTGAAATCCCCTTTGCACCCAACAGCACTGGCAAAGCAACATTTTTATTTTTTCTCTCATAAATCAATGAGTATCTCTACTTGGGCTTACGGGATCTGTCATGGGTCTGGGCAGGTTAGATTCAGGTCATTTATATTTTTCCCTTTGTTTGAACTAAACTTGGGACTCCCATAGTCATTTCTCTTGAAGTTTTTCCAAATTTGAAGCATCCAGGAAACAAAGCAAAACAAATGCCATTTTTATATGCATTGTATCAAATTTACCTCACTGTGTCAGATTTACCTTATTTTTTTCAGGACTCTGTGTTCAGCTTTGATGGGTTTCTTCATGCATGATTATTTGATAGTGTACATGTAATATGTTTCTATACATATATCTAAATACACAGTTTATAAACACAGAGATTCATGAATTGAGGATGCTGCTTTTATCTTCACCTCATCCTAAAAGCATACTTCCCAGAAATACTGAATCATGTTTTCGGATGTGAAATATGTTGGGTTTTTTTCAAATCGAAATAAGGTTTTAAGCCCTTTCAAGAAAGATAACGTCTTTCTGTAATAATTATGTTTTTAATTTTTAGTTTTCAGCAAATAGCCTCTTGTCCCCCTGTGTTATTAAGAAAGTTGTCCTCATTATTGTGTTTGATGACACAGTACAATGTTTGCTTGGTGTCTGTCGGGATCTCCAAGAACACAAACACCATGCTGATCAAAATGCTAAATAATGGCACAGAAACACAAAGGATTTTAATGGTCAGGATTGCGATGGGTAAACTATTAAGAAGGTGGAATTATAACTGTTTTTACTGGCTTTTCTACAATACATGTGGCATCCCAGAAGAATGCAGCTGAGGCATGTGCATAACAAAGCATCACAAATCCAATCCACAATTAATCTTTCCTATCTATTTAAATTCATTCAAGATTATTGTTTAAACCTCAATGACCTGTGTGTGCAGTAGCTGCATTAGATTCTGTCGCACCTTTGTGGAAATGGTGTAACTTGTGTTGGGCTCTTAATCCTTGCCCACACTACGCACCACACCCTAGCCCCAACTCTGACCACCTGCCACATCTTCAGCCATCTTGAGAGTGGACAGGGAGAATACCAGACAATTTGTGACGTAAAGGTGGACATTCATATCTCTAGCTGATGGGGTCCAAGATAGGTCTCAACGCCTGGATGAGTTGTCCTAAGGCCCGTGTGAAGTTGGTTTGGCAGATGTGGTTGAGGACGGGAGCAGGTCTGCTGTATAAATTGTCTGGGGGTGACCGTAAGCACTTCCAGAAACAATTTAATTCTACAGCTCCAGCCATCTCCAGCTGATATACTTCTCCAAGGTCATTAACTGCGCCACAGCAGGTCACATGATTAATGAGTGACAGGCCCCTGGTGCAATAACATATATGAGTGAGGCTCACATTAATTAGACAGGGGCTGAGGAGAATGAATAGTAGGGGACAGCCTGCTCCCCAGCCCCTTCACAGATCACACACACAAAAAAGCCAAGCTCACCCTTCCCTAGCACAAAGAGTTCCAAGTGCTACGTTACAATCCAACAGAATCTAATTTTAAGGTTTATCTGGTGCAGTGCTCCCAAAGTCCAAAGACTTTTAAGATCAAGAAACTCTTGTTCACAAAATAGAAACGACAGTAATGCTGCTTTTGTAAAACAGCTTTTATGTGTGGGTGACCACAATGGGCCTTCAAAGAACATACAATAGCATACTTATTTAATCCGAGCTACGTCGAAAACATCACCGACAGAAACACCCAGGCCTATATCCAGCTAGTTGACCCATAACATTTAAATAAATATATAAATATATAGTCTGTCATGATTAGGTGTTTGCCCTTGTGTTAATACACCGAATCAAATATTGTTAACAGCATTGCTCATCTTTGTATCGTAGAGTATATGTTGGTTCTCAGTGAATGTTTTTTACATATAACGTGCCACCAACAAATTTAAAAATATATTTTATACAACTGAGCCCAGTTATAATATGGTACGCTCTTTTCAAACAGTAAGTAATGTTTATAGAAGCCATAACAATAAGGTAAATTGAAAACAAAGAAAACATAGCATGAGGTGTAAGTGCTCTTTCATTACAGGTGAATATTCACTGATCTTTACTCATACCTAAAATTAATTTCTCCAAAACACCATTAGTACAATTTATTTCACAAAAGAAGAAAATCCAATTTTTCAAATGCAAATAGTCAATTTAAAGAGATTTATTTATCCATTAATTAAACTCCACAGCTACTGGGCTGAAATTGTATAACTTCAACCAGTAGATTTTATGACAATTCAAAATAAAAATAATGCTTTTAAAAACCATTTTGGACTAAAAGCTGGAATGCACTTCACCTAACATGTTTTTGAATATTCAAAACTACTTAATGCTGCACTGAAAATGTGTCGTTTTTCTGTGCAGGTCAAAAACCTATCCAAATTAAAGAGTTCTGGATTATTTTCAGTACATACCAGTTTTATTATTTTATTGTATAAACAATATTAAGTTAATACACATTCTAATTTCTTTATTAAAATCAGGTCTACTACCTTCTGCGCTACTTTTATGATTTTATTGTTTGTCTTATAAGCACATTGATTTCTACATTCCAGGAAACATAATCTCATGTGTAGCACAATCTGGCCAGAATAATACAGAGAGGCAAAGAAAAGAAAATCAAGACTGAAATCAGGGGCAAACATTTCACACTGAACCTGAAAAGCCTTTTTGAAA